GGTTGCGATCAAAAGGATAATGCGATATCTCGCGGGCACGTTGAACGTAGGTCTTTGGTATCCCAAAGGTTCGACATGTCATCTTGTTGGCTATTCCGACTCGGATTTTGCAGGTTGCAAACTCGATAGGAAAAGTACCAGCGGTACTTGCCACTTATTCGGTCATTCGTTAATCTCGTGGTTTAGTAAGAAAAAGGTTAGTGTTGCACTTTCCACCACCGAAGCGGAATATGTCGCTGCGGGAAGTTGTTGTGCCCAAATTCTTTGGCTAAAACAACACCTAGTGGATTTCGGCCTTATACTTGATCACATCCCAATTAGGTGTGACAATATGAGCGCCATTAGTCTATCGAAGAACCCCGTTCTTCACTCCAAGACTAAACACATAGAAATTAGGCATCACTTCATACGAGATCACGTCCAAAAGGGAGATGTCACAATTGAGTTTGTTGAAACGAAACATCAATTGGCCGACATTTTCACAAAACCCCTTAGTAGGGAGAGTTTCTTCCACATTCAGAACGAACTTGGCATTTTGGATATCTCTATGAAGTAATTCTTTTTTGACTATACTAATTTGAGCGTCGGAGGCGCGATAAAATTCTTTTTGTAGGGCTTTTATTGTAGGTATCTCTTCCCTTGGTATTCAACCTAATTGGACTTGATATTTTTTTTCTCTTTAACAAATTTTAATCGATTATTCCTCAAAGAAAAATCGATTAGTCGCCTCAGTCTTTCTTAATCGATTAATCGTTTCTGTTTAATCGATTAATATCCGAAAACGTCTTTAGCGCTGATTCACCTTTTAATCGATTAATTTTGTTCAATTAATCGATTAGACTCATCTGTCCATATTAATCGATTAACCTTCTCTGATTAATCGATAAATATCTTGAAAAGAGACGTTTTGGTTCTGCTTCTTCTAATCGATTAATATGCTTCATTTAATCGATTTTTCCTCGGCTGTGTTCCTTAATCGATTAAATACTTTATTTTAATCGATTAATATTCAATTTTCGCCCTATATCCAGCCCAGGCTTCGTCTTCTTCGCCATTCTCTGTTTAAAGAATCAGAAACCCTAACACCTTCTCCTCTTCAATCCCTCTCAATTTTCTTCCATTTTCTCACCAATCTTCTAACCTAATCTCATCAATTTCAAAGAGGAAGGATGCCAAGGTGCAAGAACGCTTCCTCGGGTCAAGAAACCGCAGCAGAGGAGAATGAGAGGCCATGGCGTCGTGAAGGGAGCAAGTACATTCACATTCAAACGGGTCTCGCCTCCAACACTGGGGCTTCA